GGGTGTTGGGGGCGGTTTGGGGGTGTTGGGGGGGTGTATGGGTATTGGGGCCCGCTATGGGGGTGTTGGTGTGGTGATTAGGGGTTCTGGACCTTTTTTTCTGTGGGGTGCCGACGACCCCGACCTGTAGTTGCCGACCCGCCGACTGGCAGCCGACCAATCAAGGGCCGCCAACCGTCGGGGTGTGCAACACTGGACCTGAGTTCAAATCCTAATTTGATCAGTTGAATGAAATAACCTTGGGGTGTTGGTGGGGTCATTAGGGGTTCTGGACCCTTTTTTTTGTGGGGTGCCGATGACCCCGACCGGTAGGTGCTGACCCGCCGACCGGTCGGCGGGTCGGCAGCCGACCAGTCAAGGGCCGCCGATTGTCGGGGTGTGCAACTCTGGACCTGAGTTCAAATCCTAATGTGCCAGTCAGTTCGACGATGATGCCTCAAGGCTGTTGCTCTTTTTAAAGGAAGGAATAAAAGGAGCGAGGAGTCAGTCTCTTGGAGTCATCGATGAATGCTGTGGAAGCTATCCCACCCTTGATAACATTTTGTTCTTCTGTGGTTTGATCTTTCTGTGCGGGTGTATGCGCATGCCTGTGTATGAGGACCACGGTTGTCGGCCCTAAGTGGGTGGCTAGATGGACGTAAAACTCAGAAAAATGAAGTTGCCCACTTACCCGCTGTGTGTGGCCAGATACACGGAAAACTCAGAAAAATGAACTTGCCCTACCTATCCGGCGTGGGTCGGCTTGCCTTGCCAGCCTATTGTGATGGGTCATTTGGAATGCTGCTGCCTGAAGCTCCCGATTGCTCAGCAAAGAGCTGCTCGATTCCTCTCATTTTGAAAACGAAAGATGAACCCTGCTTGACTGCACGAAGCAGAGAGAGCCCGCTCCAGCAGAGGGAGGTGGGGGAGATGGGGGCGATAGCGAAACTTAGAAAACAGAACCAATGTACCAACGGGGGTAGCTCAGTTGGTACACCCATGAACTGTCGATATACAGACTCGAGTTTGAATCCTGATACTATCAGATGAACAGAATAAAATCCTTCTGGATTGCCTGGGTCCGGTCATTTCCATGATGATATCTTAAACCCCGCTAGTACACTGCCCCAGCCTTGCAGAAAGTTTTTTGTCGCCACAAGCAAAACTCGGAGGCGTCGTGCGGCCAGGGGCGCCGTTGAAAAAAAAAAAAGATCGGCGGGCTCCGAAGTGGTGCGGGTTTCATGCTGACACCCATGGGCCTATATGTGGTGTACTGATGCTATCTAGATGTGTATAAGAGACAGCGTGAGGATGTGATGGGAGGTGATCTCATATTCCAGGACACCCACGGCCTACTGCTCCAGGTGATCACTGTGTACTCAGTGACTAGCCTCTACAACACCATGGGACTCGTTGAAAAAAAAAAAAAGATTGGCGGGCTCCGAAGTGGTGCGGGTTTCATGCTGACACCCATGGGCCTATACGTGGTGTACTGATGCTTTAAGGCTGTTCCCCTTCTTTTCCTAAAAGAAAAAAAAGAAGAAGAATGCAGAGCAACTGTAAAGCTGGAAGTCCTTGTCCAAACACTATGTTCAAAACTCCAAACCTCTCAATACATGTTCCCCCCCCCCCCCCACAACTTCAGGTGCCAGCTTTGCCCTTCTAGGCCTAGAGCTGCTAGGAACTGCAAACAAAAAGAAAAAAGCAGGACTTATGACAGTGTTCCTCGATGGCGACGACAATGACGACAACGGCGATGACGAAGGCGACAACGACGACAATGACTTCAACCAGGCGGTCCACAATTTTTTGAACCACAGATTTGTCCATCAGGAGAAGGGTACCAGTTCGTCGTTTCCCAGAAATACAGCAAAACTGCTAAGTTCTGCGATAATCAGTTTGTTAGCGTTCCCGACCATGCACTGACCTTGATTCTGCCCTACCGTCTTTGGTGGAATTTGCAGTCCAGATACAGCTATAATGACCGGGCGTCCTATTCGGGTGAAGTCGGTAGTCGGAAGGTTTTGAGGGTAGGGGGGCGATCACAGTCGCCATGCCAGGGAAGGAAGGGGATAGCTGTGATGCAACGCAAGTGGAAATTTGGCATTGCAAATTTGTTGGCCCTCGAAGGGCAGGGTGTCCAACATGAGATTTCATGCACCGCGCACCATCGCGACTACAAGCACTCTGAAACCTGACTGAAAAAAAAAAAAAAAAAGAAGAAAAAAAAAAACTTGACTGAAAGTGCGAGGTGTGACTTCTATGGAAACCATGCTACTTGCGCCTTTTCTTTGCAATGTCTAAACGATGCGACTCCCTGCTCTCTTGTTGAGATCTTCTTATTATCTCTGTATATTTTTGTGCAGCGTTCTTTCGCAGGGTGTACAAGTTGAAAAGGGTGTCAAGTCAGGGGGTTTCATCTCAGCGCGACCCCCTACAGGCGGTCAAGTTCCGCCAACGGATAATCCTCGGGGTTCATCTGAGGGTGCGCCATCGTACGAGGTAGCCTGCATTTTCATGCGCTTCCCCTCTCTGCTGTTTATCTTTTGCAAACAAGTAGTGAATCCGAAATGATACGTTTACTGGGTAGTGGGACTGGACATCCAGCCGATCGTTTAGGCTCCGAGTGGCTTGGCTCGATGGACCGTGCCGTGCAAGGGTCGGCAAATAGCCTGCTGTTGGGGAACCGACTTGGACAAACCTGTTCAGAGCATTTTTTTTTTTTCTGGACCCTTGCCCAGACGCGTCATGATAATGCAGCTGGACTATCCAGATCCTAAACATCTGGATGCATGTTCGGCCCTCCTACCTAGTCTGTTGCATTGCATGTCCTTTTTGTAAATACCCATCTTGGTAGACCCAGGTTACCAGGGCAGATCTCCGGGCCCCTCCTGGCTGTCCGGGATGTCCGACCGGACACCCGCCGGCCATCTGCCCGGACACGACCTTTTACACTGATGTCCCCGGACGTCCAGTCCAAACGGGATCCCGCACAACAGGGTGGGATGTCCGGGATCCCGCACAACAGGGTGGGATGTCCGGGATCCCGGAGAACTGGGGTCCAGGACGTCCGGTCCTAATGTCCTGGCCGAGTGTCCAGGCATCGGACATTTGGCTACGTAGCATCTGACACTGATGTACAACTGTTTCAAGTTGGAGACTGACAGAATTTTCAGAATGACATGATCGTGAGCCTGTCCAATGTCACCCTGTCTAAGGTGGGTGTCATAGTATGAGGATTACCAAGGATGAGCTCATAGCAGAAAGCCACCACCTTTGTGGGACAGTGACTCCTTGCGAACACGTTCGGTTGAACCTAGCTTTTGCCCAGCTGAGAGGTTTGGCCAAGGCGAGCATGTGACCTGATTAGATATCGAAAGTGAGGGCACACCTGTAGGGAACCCTGCTGGTGCAAGGAGGGAAGAAAGAGAAGTACAGCGAACCAGTCGCTGGTAACAAATAAAGGAGCAAGAATAGTGAGTAGAAAGCAAAAAGGCATGAAGTGAGGCCACACCTATAAGGAACCCTGTTCGTATAAGGAGGGAAGAAAGAGAAGTACAGCCAACCAGTCACTGGGAAAAAAACAAGAAGGGGGGGGTAAGAATAGAGAGTAGACAAACCGAAAGGACCACCTCCTGTAAGGAACCCTCACTGTACAGGGAGGGAAGAACACATACTACAGCCAACCGGTCACTTGTAAATAATAACAGGAGTAAGAATGGAGAGTAGAAAACAAGAAGGTACATCTTCAGGTAACCAAAACCTCTCTCTTTTTTTTTCTTTTTTCTTCAGGTAACCAGAAAAAACTCAGCAAGTTCACGTGGAGGAAATGTGACAGTCATGCAGTCTGGATTGTGAACGGCTTATCATACATCTTTTAATTGTTCACACAGAAATCCTGTGTTGTAAAAATTGTTTGGCTTCCCGACACCTTTGCCCACGCTGTCCTTGTGTTGTTGAGAGCTCCCTTTATGGCTACCATCTTCACCCGAATAGAACACCCGGTTATTATAGCTGTATTTGGACCGAAAAGTGCACCAAATACGGCTATAATGACCGGGCGTTCCATTCGGGTGAAGATGGTAGGGCCGTAGCCCACTAGCCCCTCAAACCGAAGGACGGACATGCATATGGCCGTTGTTTTCTATAGCAGATGGGCGGGGGCATGGCCGTTGTTTTTCCATAGCATATGGTTGACCTTTCTAAGGGACTCAAAAAAGGGAGTGGTCCTGACTTCTGCTCCTGTGAATGCAAATGGTGCAGATTTTGCGGTTTGATTTCGAGAAAGAGACGGTTGTCGAGTGGCACAGGCGCATGGAACCGTTGGTTCTCTTCTTTATTGACGGTGAGTATTTGTCGCAAATCAACGGAACAAGAGGTTTCTGAGAGGGGGAGGAGGCCTCAAACTTCTCAAAGAGAGGATGCTATCCTCAACCTGAAAGTGTGGTCCTCACAGATTGACAAAAGCCGCAAAAAAAAAGTGGAAAGTTGTGAAATAATTTGAGAACCAAAGTTACCAAACCAGGGCCGGTATGAGGAAGCAGGTAGTCGGAGAGCAGACAGGATATAAAATAAGGGCCCATTAAGGGGGATATATTGGAGGATCCTGTGTCAATGACAGGACAAGATTGGAAAAACATGTACATGTAGGTAAGCAATGGCTACGCTCTGCACCCTGTAACTATGCCTTCTTCACCCAAATAAAATGTATGGTCACTAAAGCTGAATCTGGGCCACATTTCAGTCTAGATACTTCTATAATGACGGTACGTTTTATTCAAGTGAAGAAGGTAGACGACAGTATGACGATCAGAGCAGGGTAGTCACGCCGACTGTTGGTGGCTCCAGACCCGCCGGCTGCCGACCAGCCGACTGTAGGCGCCGTCGGCGCCGACTGGTAGGCACCCCGCAAAAGAAAAAAGAAAGAAAAAGGGTCCGGAACCCCAAATAACCCCATCCACACCCCGATACCCCCC